GTGGTTGCTGTCACCTTCTACAGCTGAATTGTTAATATGTGGTTTTAAATTCAAATAGCACACAGGGCTAATTTTCTTGTATTTGCCCAAAAAATTAGGTTACATAGTTCATCTAATTCTCCCTCCACTTTTTCATGTGTGGGTGGTACTCCTTGTAGAGAGTACTTCTTTTCCATGACATTGAACTTGAACCTGACTGACCTTTCTATAATGAGTGAATTGAAAACATCTCCCTTTGGAATGTGGCTTGTAGATACTGGCTATGCCAGTTTTTCTGCATTTGATGAATTAAAGGGGCAGAGTCCTTTTCACAGACCAGACCAGAGGAGTTATTTAACAGGACAAAAAAAAAGGGGGGGGGGGGAGGAAAGAGAGAAAAAGAGAAAGAGAGGGCAAGGAAGAGAGGAAGGGAGGGAGGGAGGAAGGAAGAGAGGAAGGAGCTTTTAAAAGCCTTTTGCAGAGGCACTTGGCTTAATTAGAAGACATTCATTAATTTTAACAGAAAGTGATTAGGCAAGAGTTTGTGTTGCCTTGGATATGTTGGGCTTCTGTTGAGAGTAGCAAGACCTCTTTCTTTCTTCCTTTTTTTCTTTATGTCTATCTATCTATCTATCAATCTTTCTTCTTCCTCCATTTAAATAGTTGAAGAAAAGCCACTTTAAAGTTCCATGTATTTTAGCAAATATTTAAATAACATATTTGGATATTTGTCTCTTGCAACTCAAGATATTCTGTATCACCTCCTTGTTGTTCTTAAATCAAGCCTTCTAACTAAAATCAAAGTTAAATACAGAGACACTTGGGATCAGAGCTACTGAATAATCAGTTTGTAGATTTCTTGTCTTATGTGTTCATAGCCCATGGATTCATGCTTCTTCATTTTTTTTTTAAAGGGGGAAAAATACAGAATTGATGGGAGACAGCTGAAAACAGTCAGCAGCAGAAAGTCCGGCACTACCGGCATCTGATCTTAATCATAATATATCCTCTGTCTGGTTTGTCAAAATCTATCACTCAAGAACACCTTCAATGGACAGTAATTTGAGGTGTGGCTTATTAGATCACACGATCTTATGAATAATAAAAAGTTATGGAAAATTGCATCCAGGCCTGCTATCCAATTTTCAGTGGTGTCACCCACTTTATAGTAAGGCAGCATGTTTATGCATGATTTCTGTTTCATATGTATTGACTAGATCATTTTCTCTGTTGTCCTGAGAATTGATGACACACACTGTATTAAGAATGATGACCTCCACAAGGGGGATAACACTTCCTCTAGATTACACTATTGTCAAAACATATTGAAATTTTCTTTACACATGTTACTGCTGTATTTTTCTGCCTGAAAGACCCTGTTAAAGTGAAATCTTGTATTTTTTTTTTTTTTTGCGCTAAATAAGATCCGAGGGACAGGTGTCAAATTTTTCTTCCCTCCTAATACTTTCGTGGAATGACCAATGAAAAATAATAACATCATCCTTCAAAACAATCCCTGTCAGGACTATGTCAATGCTTCAGGGCAATTTTGATAACCTTTTTGGAGGAATTTGCAAGATACAACTTCTGTTTGCATGCTTAAAGATATTACTGTGTAGGATCCCAGGAACTCCATTATGTATGGATTCTAATATTCTGATGGATAATAGGCAGCTGAAGGAAATCCAAATAGCAAAAGGCTTCAATGAATATTGTTTTCTCTCCCAGTTTGCCTGACAGAGTCTCACTGAGGATGATATTTTTCTTCACTGAACTACCCCCTCCCACAAGACACCTCCTTTTTAGGAATCTACACAGCTCTCCACTTGCAGTGATGTAACACCACTGCTGATACCATGGGTATGTGAAAATAGTGTGCAATATTACTTTCTCCCTTGCTCTGGATCAAAATGCAAATCCACCTTCTGTGAGAGAGTGACCCCTTTGTGGCCACCGCACCTACCACACAGCATACAGCACACATTGGTGCGTCTTTGGAAGACAAACAAAACAAGACAATCTTGGGTACCCCCCCACACACAAAAAAAGCCAGGTTACTGATCCTGGGCAAATCTCCATTTTATTTCTGCAAACACCAAAAGCAGGAAATTAAAAAAATAAAAAAAAAATTAAAATATTTTATTTTGAAATTAAGGGTAATTCTGAAATCAGATTGTAAATAAACATTGGGTGAAACCTCTCAAGTTGAAGTGTATTTCCATTCCTTCTCTCATGTCTTCCCAAAGATTCTTGATATGTTAATTGTCCCGTGATGGTAGGTGATGCAAGGTAAAGGAGGAGGGACTCATTGGAAATCAACATCTGAAGTATATGTTTGTGCAGGAAAAAAAAGTGTTAGCGTATCAAAGACTAAATGTCAAGAGGCATTAAGAATAGAAAACAGAGATACGTGAGAGGGAATTTTATGTTTTAATTTAATTTATGTGACTTTTGTATCAGAGCCCATTGAACTGACAGGAAATGAAGATGGTGCCTATCTGGCCTGAGATATGTAAGGCTTGTAATTGAAATTAATTATATGTTCTTTACATTTTCCATTTCCCTCTTAAAGTTGGACAGGTGGAAATGCTTTAGCTCTTAAGTTACAGAGTCGGGTTCAAGCTCCGTAAATTCTTTACAGTCAACCCTCAGGCTTCCAGAGTACTCCTCCATCACCGTCCCGCCCCCCCCCCCCCACACACACACACACAAACACACACACCAGCTCTGGCCTGAAACACTCTTCCCAACCTCAACCTGCTTAAAATCATCTGGCCCCATCCCCCAGGTCACCCTGGCTGGCTGCCCATCCACACATTTACATTTGCCTTTGAGTGTTTTCAGAAGCCCATTATATTGTGCCTTGGCAGGCCAGACACCTTCACTCACCCTGAGATCCAGGGAGAAGGGGTTATCAAATTCCCTCATCAGACAGTCAAAGCCTGCATTCTTGAGTCTGCAAAGAAGCTATGCAGTTACACGGGGTAAGATGTTAGGACTTGTAAACATGTCATACAATATTATAATATGCCTGTGGGGCATGGTTAAGTACAGAGGTTGGGTGGACCTGGAGCTACAAAGGCTAGTTTTTCTATGGCGCTGTCTTAATGCACATTACTTTTTGGAGACACCACAATGGGTATTATCTTTCATAAAGAGGCTGCCTCCCTTTCTTAAAGACCTGTGTTCTTTCAGATGGTTGGAAATCCAGTGATTATTAAGTGAAAAAGGAATCCAGGGCACCCTCATCTACTAGATAACACGGGAAGGCTTTGCCTTCACACACAGAAAGTGTTTCTGCCCCCAGCCTTGCTCTAAGACCCTGATGCCCTGGGCACATTCAAAACTCAAAATAATCTGGGTGAAAGGTGAAGGTCTGTCTGTTTTCCTAATAGGTCTAGACTCCAAATATTCAAGAAAGTGGAAATAAGCCTGACTGTCCTTTTTGGTGCCCCAAATTACCTCCTACATTTTGCTTTTTCAACGATCGCAAACAGTCCTATGATTCTGGACAATAATGTCTAACTCTAGCCTATTGCTTAAGGCAGAATTAAGATGGGGTAATGGGTTGAATAAAAAGATCTACTTATATCAATCTTATTTCTTGTCTTAGAGATGAGACATAAGTTTATGAACTGGAGGAGGTAAATGCAGATTTCCTTCCTTTCCCTACTCTCCCTCAATCCTTCTGTCCCCTCTTCCTCCCTCCCTCCCTTCCTTCCTTCCTTCCTTCCTTCCTTCCTCCCTCCCTTCCTTCCTTCCTTCCTTCCTTCCTTCCTTCCTTTTCATTAAGCACAATGCCATTTACCTTACAAGAAATCTGATGGAATTTAATCTACAACATGGTTCCAGACCGGAAGTACAGCTGCACAGCAGAAAGGGGGCAATGGGGTGGGGGTATTTTATAACACACAAAACAGGCAGGACTGCTCTGGACAGAAGATAATGCAAACTAGCTTTGCTGGAAATGAGCTGCAAAATACCTTCATTTTCTACTACAGTGAAACCCTGATAAAATCACAACTGTTAAGGTCATACAGTATATCAGGTGGAATCACAGTCTTTAGAACTCCATTATTAATGCAGACAACCTCACAATCAAAGAGGATGAGAGCACAGTTTCCAGATGCCAATGATTTGATCCTATCTTATTTGGCTGTTTACATTTAAATAATGTGACTGTATAAATTTAAATAATATAAACCACCAACAGATGGATCCCAGTGAAAAACTGCACCTTCACTGAGACCCTGAATGTACACTATACAGGGCTTTACAATTTATTTGAGCAGAGCTCATATTTAAAAAAAAAAAAATGGGGAGGGGGACAAAAAGAGAGAGAGACTCATTTCTTCTGCCATTATGGAAATAAAAGGACAGCCGCTTTAGTTCCTGGCTGACTGTGCCAAGGAAACATGCAGTTCTCTAACCTCTGGTACAATGTACCCATAAGGTAGCAAGCATCAAAGCATATTAAAAGATATTAACTGCATATTTGCTTATGAACAAGATAAAAAGCTGTAGGGCCTCCAGGTTCTCAAGCTGTGAGTGGAACAGCTTTGCAATTTGCCTGCAAAACTGCATTTTGATCTTAATGAATATAAAATGGCTGCCATTAAAAGTAAAACAGATTATTTCGGGTCTTCCAGGGCCCATAGCTCTTTGCCGGCCTTGGAGGGCCACTATGATCTTTCATTAAAATCTCACAGCAGGGCTCCCTCACCAGCAAATCAAGCCTTGCAGTCTAGGAGATTGGCTACATTTAAAAGTAATTTTCAGAAATCTACACAGATTTTCAATTTGGTAATGAAAGCCATAAGAGAATGCAGGCGGCATTTTGTCGAATATTGTTACTGATCCAGTGCTCACATTCGTTAGAAATTAAACTGCCCCGTAACTATCGCACTGATGGCAGCTTGCCATTTCGGCTGCGTTCTAATCTCCGTTTGTTAATGAGTAGCATGTGCTAATTGTTGTCATCCTTACCGCCAAGCGGTCCTTCCCCAACAAACATATTTTACCTGCTCAGACGTGGAACCTTTCACTTTGTCACAGACCAAGTTGGAAGGGAGTGTTGGAGTCGCTGGTGCTTTTCATGGAGACAGCCAGGCGTCCTTAGCTGATGGGAAAGGAACAACATCTGAAAATGGTGCTTTTGTATTGCATCTGGACTTGGCCTTTGTTTTTCAGTCAAGCCTAAGTTTTATCTAAGTCCGGGAACAGGCAAAATGTGAACTTTCACGTTGTTCCTAAGAACAGTTTAAACACATCAACAAACTCTGCGCACAAGGTTAGGCCAGATCAAGTGAAGTTTAAAATGAGGGAGGGGTTGATGGTTAGGAGGGAGGAGAGACTGGAAAATTCATCTGGGCAAAAGTGCTAGCCAAGGCAGGGAAGAGAGTGCACCTAGAACCCCACAGGGATGTGGGACTGCCACAGGTTCTCAAAGCTGAGTTTCCCTCTTTGCATTCCCTGGTTCAAAAGCCTTGGGGACAGGGGTTGTGTCACCCTCAAGAGGAAAGTACTAGGGGAACAGGCATGTGGGCTCACAGTACCATGGTTCCTGAGGAGAGAGGGTACAGAGAGGGAAAAAAATAATAAGTTCAGCATTGTGATATGTTATGCTGGCAAATATCTGAATAAAGAAAATTGTATAAAATAATTATCAATGAAAACATGATTAAATAAGAAAAAAAAATTACATAAATGCATTCTGAGACAGAGTGGTTTTTTTTTTTTTTTTCTTTATGGGTCCCTATACTTGATATAAGAACTGAGGAAAGTTATCTTTCTGAGATTCTAGAAACAAAAATGTCAGATTATGCTTTCCTTTTGGAAAATGCATTCAATAAATTTTCTTTACCCAGCAATTCTCTTTACCTGGCACCTTTAGGGCAAAGCTCTTCCCTGCACTAAAATGTGACGAACAACAAGAGCTGCTCTCTAGTTTCTCTCTGACTGGATATAAATTCTTCCCGCTGATACAGAAAGAGTCTCTATTTAAAATAGCAATTCTCCTTGGCAGAGAGCTGGCAGCCAAGAGGGAGAATATATACAAAATATATGTTTATTTTCAGGGGGCCAAAGCAGGCAACTTGTGGCTCAGCATGAAGTATCTTTTAGTTTCTAGAATACCTGAGGTTCCTTGGCCTGTCTGGGCGCAGCTCCTTAGGTTTCCACAAAGTACAGTTTTAATAGGGGGTATGTCTATGATTTTAAGGAAATGACACAGGAACCCCTAATAAGGTGCCACTGCTAATGTGCATTAGTGTTTGAAGAGAAAACTAAGGCCGATTCCTTGTCTCTGTGGCCTCAGGAGACCAATGGGAAATAGATGCAAACAACTTGGTAAGCAGTTTTGAATCCATTCCACCTGTAGTTGAGATTCTAATTGCAGGATCATTCATGTAACATGTTAGGATTTTTAAACACCCAAAGTGACATTATAAGAAATTCTGCTGAATCCTCCTGAACTCAGAAGGCTGAGGAGGCTTCTTCTTCTTTTTTTAACCTGTCATCAGTTGTTCTAATATTCTGCTGAGAGCTTCCAGGTTCACTTTGACAACTGTATACCAGTAAAGTCTCTTGTATCATTATTTTGGTGTGTGCTAAAATGTGGGCAGAGTGATGGTACATCACCGATTTGGACTCTCAATTTTTAGAATATGACAGACATTAATATCCCTTTAATTATTAGAGCTGGAAAAAAACTGGACTTAATGTAATTATTCTTCTGATAATCAAGTTAAGTTTTATTAGTTATAATAAAGTTTATTTATTTGCCTTGTTTTAGAAACAACTCTATGGAAACAAGTATTGTCCTCACTTTGACTCTCTATTAATTCTCTATTAATTCTGTTAGAAAATACACATATACACATAGAGATGAAGTGGAGGATTTTATAAAAAATAAATCATGTGAAAAATAAAAACTGCATGACCTTGTAAAGGGGCATAATGAAAATTTTCAAATAATATTTTTATTACCTTATGAACTTTTTTTTACTCTATCTCTATTTTGGATATTATAGCTAAGACATTCTTTGTTTTCAGTCATAATTAATTATTAAACTAGATAATGATTCTAAAACAAAATTTGGGGAGATGGAAGTGTATAGCAATGGCTTACAAATTCACATCTACTAAAATTCACACTTATGAGTCCATTTTTAAATATAGAATTTTAATTCAAAGTTCAAGGCCTACATAAAATTTCTCTTGTAAAGAACTTTTAGAATATTAAAGTCTCTGTTTTGTCAAGTGAAATTTTTATTTTGTTGTTTTGGCAAGAAAATATACTAAATAGTATGCTAAATCTCACGACTTGTTTAAAATATAGTCCTCTAGTACATAGCAATACTTCTGTATTTACTCAACAAACCTCACAGACTCAGCCCTCAAGGGACAAATGTATTTAATTCTAAAAGTTAATTGGTAAATTGCTTTGGAATTTGTAATTAATTTTTCCTTAGAAACATTACTTAAACAACAGTTTGGTTCCAGGGCAAGCCCATAAGAATAAAATTTGTCATCATGTAGCTGAGCTAGAATCCAAATAGCCTCAGCCTGTGTTTTTCCTCCAGGAAACAGGAAACATGAGATTCAAGGTGAGTGAATTATGAGATAAATGGATCGGGATAAAGAGTAGGAAGATGTTGAGAGGAGCATGGTTTCCCTTTCTCCTGTTCAGAGCTGGAGCTCTCTGTGCTATATAGTGAGACTCAGCTAGATCCAGACATCTCTGGCCCCACAGTGCCCCAAACTCCCTTCAGCTCCTGATCCATGGCTGCAAAAATTCAGTCCTTTAGCCCTTCATAATCAACTATGTCTCACCTATCCTCCCAACCCTCTAATCACATTCCAACTGATTTCACCAAATATTGGAGGAATGAGGAGCATAGGCCAGTGAGTGGCAGTGAGGAAGTCACACTTCCAAGGAAGCACTTCTGTTCTGGTTCTGAAGAAAGTTCAGCAGCTGAATGTCCTGTATATCACCCATGCAGGAGTCTGGTTCGGGGCAGTGTGTGGTACCAACACCACGGCTACCACCACAACACAGGAGCTGTGACGGGCGACGACATGAGCTGATGCTTAGGAGTCAGAGCACAGAGGATCCTGCTGAGGATTTCTCCTACATGTGTCCTCTTGCCTGAGGCCCTCAACAGTAAGCATGTTGTAAATGCAGGATGGACTTCTGTCTTAACCAAAAGGTAAATACGCTTGATGAGTGTCAACTTATTAGAAAGGATGAATGTTTTACAAATGAAATTTAAAGAAAACAGAACCCAACAAAAATATAGAAGAAAAAAATATATATTTTGGGGGAGCCAGAGATAAATCGGATCTGGAATCAAGAGTGTAAAAAGAGGAAACTGTAGATTGGTGGGGTAGTATACTGGAGGGGAAGATACTTCTGTGGATAGTGACAAGATACTTCTATAAAGGCAGTGACAACTTCCCTCTTATTCAACAGAGAATAGGAAAAACTCTCAGGACAGTCACATTGGATGAGCTTTAACATCTTTTCCAGGAAGAAGAAGAGAGAAGGAGTGGCTGGCCCCTAAGTTCATAGGATCATGTTTATGAGACTAAAGGGATATAAATTTTCCTGGGACATAAACGTAAAATGCATGGAAAGATAATGCTCTCCTCTGTGATCACATATTACAATTGACATTGTCTCTATGAGACATGGTCACTGGTCATCAAGAGGCAGGGAGATACAAGCAAGCTGTTCAAAGGCCTGGGCACTAGGGTAGAGGCATCTGTCTTTCATATTGGTTGAGAATACAAGGAAGCTTTGGAAATATCTATGTGGTGCAAAGCAGATTTGGGTTTTTGAAGTATGGCTCCAAGTGGTAGAAAGAGAATCTTCGGCACAGGGCGAAGTGGTTTTTTTGAAGATAGGAAAATGTGTTGTCTCCAAAAATACCCAAACTAAGCAAACTGCTTAAACGTGGAAGCCAAACAGACAAAAACTAAAAAGCTTTCAGATCGGATCCTGGGCTACAGTGTGATATAGAAGGTAACATATTTTAAACGGGTTGATGAGTATTTTTCAACAAAGAACACAGGAAAGACAGGCAGAAACCATGTATTCATCCTATTGTTCATATGTAACAATTAGCAGACTATGAATAATATAATGAATATATAATTTAACTTTGCCCAAAGAGTGTGATTTGGTGGGTGAGCTAAAAATGATAAGGAATTTGGAAGGAAGTGACATGTCATTTTAGATTTTGTTATGTTTCACAGGAAAAAAAAATTGGATATAGGCATTTATCCTAGAATTTAGGAAAGCAGGCATCAAAATAGAGAAATTGTAGAGATGATCCCATGACTAAATCATTTTAACGGGAAAATAAGCCTATTTTTAAAATTCTGACAAAATAATCACAGATTATTTCAGAGGCACATATAAAAAAACAATATAACATGAAAGGAACATTCTTTTTCCCTTTTTGAAGCTATTGAATCAGAATATAAAAGGACATGTGCCCAAAATGGAAGGCTGAAAACATCGTAGGAGCCAATATAGAAAAGTGCAGTAAGAAGATTGTCAAGGGGGTTAAAGCCTGACTATAGGCTGAAAAACTGCCAAGGACAACAGAAAGCTATTTTAAGCTCTGTTTGTAAAGAAGAACAAAGGGATAGGTACATTGATTGGGGCACACAGCAAAATGTTAACAGATGTCGCAGAGAAAACAGAACTATTCAACTCCTATTTTGATTCTATGGTCTCTAACAAGAAGAATGATCTTCAAACCAGAGAGGGCAGAGCAAATAGTTAAGAGGGAACCGAGGCCCAAGATAAGTCAAGAAACACTAAGGTATTACCTGGTTGCTTTAAACAGGTTCAAGGCTCCAGGCCAGACCAATTATCTCAGGTTACCGAGAGAACCTAAAAAAATGTTCCAGATGTGACGGTGGAAATCCTCCCAATATTTTTTTTAGAATCATGGTCTAATCAGGCCTGACCAGGGATTCACATGGGCTCTAGGAGAAAAAAAAAAAAGCTTTTCATTGGGGAAAAACAGAAAAGTATCCAGAGACAAATCCTCAGGAACTGCTACAACTGATTATCATACACATGAGTTGTTTGTGTTAAGAAGCAGCAATCACTGTCAGTTAGCAGGGGTTTCCTTGAGACCACACCAATCCCTGCCTCCTTCCCTCTCAACCTTCTCTCTCTTTCCCTTGTTTTTGTTTTGAATTTATTTGTTTGTTTTGTGTTGTTGGATGGTGGTGGTGTTATTGTTTTCTTCCTTTCAGTTTCATAGGATGACTAGCCAAACATTTCAGAGGAATGACTCAGTTTCATCAAGACATTTAACACATTATTGAATAACATATCAGTGGACCAAAAAAAGAGGCCTGAGTAATTAGTGTGACTCAAAACCGGTTGAATAAATGTTCCCAAAGAATACATGTTAATTAATTGGGGGCAATCTGGAGAGTTCTCTAGTGATATGTGCCCTTTGGACTTCATTTTACCCTTTTATTCTTTTCTTTTTTTTTTCTTCTTGTTCATAGATTTATTCCAGAACTTTCTATATTCCATGAAAATATATGCTCGTGTATTTGCTTCAATCTGATTTTGCAAATATGTGCTTGTTAGCTACTCTGTATAGATCAGATAGATTCTGGAAAGATGATCTGGGTCAGATCTAATATTCCTTTAAGTAGCTCATAGTTTAATGGGAGAAACAGAGTGAGTAACTGAATAGATGGACAGATGCAATACAGCGTGAGACAGAAAGAAGGACGTTAACACTGATTGTGTCCCAACCTTTTCTTCTATGCACTATACTAAGGGCTTCACATAGTTCATAAAATCCCCCCTGAAAGAGTATGTGATAGTTCTGATTACAATCAGAAAATGATATGAGTCTACTACTTCTCTGATTGGTTTCTGTTTTGGTATGACCAAACTCCTTCCAAGTTCCCCCAGACATTGGCACATGTACCTGAAAGGCATGTGCGCCCATACGCTCAAATCTCTTTGATTTTGTGTATGTCATTCTCTCTGCCTAAAGTTTCTTCTTCAACTGCCTGGAAACCTCAGAAGCTTTATGACAGAATACCCGAGATAATCAATTAAGAGGAAAGGTTTATTTTGGCTCACAATTTCAGAGGCTTCAGTCTGTGATTGTTTGACCCCGTTGGCTATAGGCCTGCAGCAACACAGGATTCATGGTGAGAATGCATGGTGGAGGAAAATACTCACCTCCTAGTGGCCACAGCAGAATAAGAGAGAAAGAGGAAGGAATCAGAGTCCCCATATTCCCTTCAAGGGCATGCCCCCTATGACCTAACTTCCTCCAACTAGGCCCCACCTATGGAAAGTTCCATTACTCCCACTGCACCCTGCACTCAGGACCAATCCTTCAACATAGAAGCCTTGGGGAGGAGGGGCCTGGGGGCATCCAGATCTAAACTATAGTACTACATGTCTCTCCAGCTGGGCTTTACCTTTTCTGGAAAGTTTTCCTGGGATGGCATTCCATCTGCATTAATACTTAGGGCACGCACTGGTTTTTGGACATTGGCCTTTTGCTATGGGGCCTAAGAGTATAGGCTTTGGAATGGTATGGACTGACTTTTGAATTCTGGCTCCATATGTTATGGAATGCTTGATAAAGGCTTTAACTGACTCCTTTGGGCATTGGTCTTATTGACCAATACATACACAGAATACACATTTTATGAACAATATGCTTGGGAGGCAGAGCCAACCTCAGTAAAAGCAAGGCACTAAGCAAGTCAGTGAGACCCTGTCTCTAAATAAAACACAAAATAGGGCTGGGGATGTGGTTCAGTGGTCCAGTGCTCCTGAGTTCAACCCCTGGTACCCCAAAATAAAAGAATGAACAAAATATAAAGTTTTACTTCAAGTTCCCTTGCTACTTTACTTTTTATATATCTTATTATCTGACTTATTCCTAACTTTCAATGTTCTTTTTTCTCTCTACTTCAATTTTTTCCTCTATACATTCAACAGATGTGCTTCATTTTATGCATGAAATGAGTTCTTGTAAAGTTGTGTGAGTTTTTTCCCAGTAAATGAAATATTACATTAAAGATACTAGGGAAGTTCCTTTGTAAAGGAACCTTATGCCAAATTGCTTTGTAAAGCAAATAATGACCCTATAACCAATCTTTCTCTAAATCTAGATTTCCATATATCAGATTTGACTAAAAAAAGATACATCTGTACTTTATTTTTACATCTGACTGCTAGCTGTACTGCAACATAATAGTATGCCAATTTGAAATAACATAATTTTTATACTTTTTCAGTTCTTACAATGCAATCTTAGAAAATGTATTATTTTCCATATACTCCTACATGCTTTCTTTTCCTTGGTGGAACTTTAGAGCTGCCCTCTCCCTCCTTATTTTCAGGAGGTTAGCACTAAACTACAAAGTTAGATAGTTATCTTTTATGGAATAATAATAATGTACTGCAGTTGATGTGAAGTACTTTGTATGCATTTTCACAATTAATTTTTATATCATATCTGAATTCTTGACCCCTTTACAAATTAGAAAACTGAGGCTTAGAGAAATTTAACTTCCACAGATATCCAAACTGGCTCAAATCCATGCCAGTTAATTAAATCCCTAACCTCAACACTATTGAGATATAATTGACAAATTAAAATTGTATATATTTAAGGTATTCAATGGACACTTTGATCTCTCTCTGTGTGTGTATATATATGTAGATAGATAAATATAGTGTGTATGTATATATACACACACGTATATTTATAAATGACTACTACACTAATGCTAATTGTCACATCAATTACCTCACATAGCTATTTGTGTGTGTGTGGTGAGAACACTTAAAATTGACTTTTTCATAGATTTTGTGTCTATAATACAGTATTAGTAATGATAATCATTATGCCATATGGCAGATCTTCAAAACTTATTTATCTTACATAACAGATTCTGTACCTTTTGACCAATGTCCTTTCCTCTCACCATACTCCAGAAGAAGCACTATTCTATTGTCTACTTCTGCAAGTACCAACTCTTTTAGATTCTGAGATCATGCAGTATTTGTCCTTCTGTGCTTGGCTTTATTTCACTTAACACAATGTCCTCCAGTTTCACCCATATTGTCACAATTGACACTATAGCCTTTTTTAAAGCAAAATAATATCCTTTTGTCTTTAATATTACCTTTTCTTTATTCATTCATCTGCCTAAGGATACTTGGGTATTTTCCACTATCTTGGTATAGTGAGTAATTCCACAATGAATAAGGAGTCCAGATATCTCTTAGAGATACTAGTTTTGTTTTCTTTGGATATAAACTCAGAAGCAAGATTATTAGTTTATATGATACTTCTAATTTTAATTTTTAGAAATTTCCTTACTGTTTTCCATAATGGCCATACCAATTTACATTCTCACCCACAATATGCAGGGGTTCCTTTTTCTATACTTCCTTGCCAACATGTGTTTTCTTTTATCTTTTTGATAATAGCTATTCTAATAGGCAGATGATATCTTATTGTGGTATTGATTTGCATTTCTTAATGATTAATGATGCCCAGAACTTTTTTCTTATATTTCAGATGGCTTGTGGGCCATTTGTATTCTTTTGAGAAATGTTCAGACTCTTTGCCCACCTTAATAGGGATATTATTTTATGGCTATTGAGTTGCATTTCTCATATATTTTTCATTTTAATCTCTCATCAGATGTATGGTTCACAAATATTTTCTCCATTCTGCACTACAGCAATTGTTTCATATGCTAAGCAGAAGCATTTTACTAGGATAAAATCCCACTTGTTTATTTTTGTTTTTGATGTCTGTGCTTTAAGGGTCATATCAAAAAATCATTGCCCCAACCAATGTCAAAAATTCCCTTCCCATGCTTTCTTTCAGAAGGTTTGAAGAAGTAGGTCTTACATTTAGGTCTTTAATCTAGTTTGTGTAGACTTTTTACATGGCATTAGACAAGGGTCCAATTTTGTCCTCTGGCACGAGGACATCTGGTTTTCCTAACACTAATTATTGGAGAGCCTGTCCTTTCACAATTGTGTGTTTTTGTCAAATCAGCCTGACTTTTGATCCGTCCATTAACTTCTATTTTGTGTATCCTCTTACTATTGGAATAATGAGCAAGAAGAAAAATTTTGTCCTCACAAGAAGTGACAAAGTTCAGGTGAATGTTGGTGGAAAAGTATATTTTATAAGAATCCCAATAGATTCTAATTTTTCTGCTGTCAGCTGCCTGTGTAGGATTGATACTTGCTCATTTCAGGCCTCAGTTTTTCATCTGTGAAATGTAATTCCTATGGTCTCCTCTGACAAACACATGAAATTCTCCTGGACCACTAGGATGAGACATGGCACCAACTGGATGCCCTGTTTTTATTTTTTTAACATTTTCTTACTAGAAAGTCAAGTTCAGATTAACAGCAGGTGTATCACAAGGAAACCCCTTCCGTGCCTAACTAAAATTTTAACAATTTTAAAGAAGAAAATGGAAAGAAAAATTAATGCTGCCTTTGTGGCTGGTACAGATCAGAATGCTCTCCCAAGGCAGCTTTGTTCCAAAACCAAAGATCTTTTACCAGTGAGGGGGAAAAAAATGAGTATTACAGCTATCATCTAAGATCTAAGAGGGAAGATTCAGATCTTCACTGATTTGACCAGATCACTGGTTTTTAAAAAGCATGAAGAATTTCATAGATGAAAGTCAGGATCCTCCTTCTTCCCGTTAACCAAGTCAGAGCCAACGCCTACTTTACACCCAGAACTTCAGCACATCATCCTCCAGCTTGGCCATTCACCAGAAGGAAACCAAGCTTCTGATAGCCTCTCTTCTCCCTCTTTTCTTTTACCATCAAGGTGACTTATAAACAGCTGCAATAAAAATGATTTTTTTTTCATAAGTGTCTTCTCAATAATGTCTCTGAAAAAGCAAGAGAGGCTAAAAGATACATGACATTCATGGATTTTGGCCCTGAAGCCACAAAATGCACACTAGCAATTTCTTCATTTGACCAAAATGAATGGTCATCACAAAAACAAATGTA